GTGAGCTATGACTGTGCCACTGCAGTCCAGCCTGAGTGAAACAGTGAGACCCTGTCTCAAAAAAAAAAAAAAAAAAAAACTACCAGTAATCTGAAAACTCCACCTGAATCTCTAGAGCTCATTTTACCTGATCTCAGGATGTTCAAACCTAATAAAAAGTTAAAATAATCCTGAAATTCAAGTTTAATTGTTATAGACTAGTCAATCTTTAGGTTATAAATGTAGCCAAAGGGATGGCATGTGACCCAGATCTAGAAGTATTGACTAAAACTTGTGCCAAACACTGTAGTTTTCATTATCCCAGGGCCTTTCTATAATATAGTTATTTATTATAATTTCTTAATTATTCATTCTAGCAAGGTTTATAATGATAAAACAGCCACTAATGAGAAGGCAAAATATAATTCCTTAGGAATCTCATTTTTATCTGATGTTAATTAATGCCCACTTATAAATTGTGACTTAACCATAAAATCCCCTTGGCGCTTGAATTTAATCTTTCATATTTATTGAAAAATTAGAAAAATAATCTGCTCTAAGGTAGCCAGATAAGTCCAATATGCTAGTTTTATAAACATTTTAACCTGTAACAGGTTTATTTCTTGGTGTGAATTATCTGAATATCCTCTATGAGTAATATTTGTGGCATGGCAACAGATAAGGGTTTGAAGGCTGGAGGGATGAGTGTCACTCTTTTCTTCACTCTAAGAGGCAGCTCTCTGTCAGGATTGCAAGATTTTTAAATGTTGACAAGCATGTACAGTCTAACACATGCCTTTTGCCTGGCTCATTATGTAAATTATATTCATGTAATGCATCACTTGGGTATTCAGGTGCAAGCCCATGGTGTCTAATACAAGTCCTCCTTGTCAGGAGCGGCAGCAATGTACATATTCAGTAAAGATAACCGATCAGGGGGAAAAATAACTGCTATTTTCAATCAGAACCATATAAAATGCCCTTAGTCCAGAAAAGATGTGATGCCAGGCTAAGGCTGTAAAATACGTCTCTGACCTTATTATCCAGGCTCCTGTGTTAAATATAGTGGCTATAATAGAATTTGTGTGCCCTAGTTTCTGACAGGTTGAATGTTGCTTAGTGATCCAGGAGTGGAAAATGGCTGCCTGCATTCAAAGGAGATCATAGATTACAGACATTTCCTGGGCATTATGACCAGAGGATGCTGTTGCAATGGCTCAAAAAAGAGAGACAGCCTCCTAACCCCTGTAATTGGAGCAGGACTGCATTTATTACCTATTGCAGTGTAATGAAGTACCCCAAAACCATTTATTTATCTGTGGATCAGGAATCTGGGCTGGATGAGCTGGGTCTTCGGCTTTAGGATCTCTCTCAGGAGGCAATCATCTTGTCAGCCAGGCCTGTGGTCATCTCATCTTTAACCGAAAAGATGTGCTTCCTAGCTGACTGTCTCGTTCGTTAGCAGGATTCAGTTCCTCGTGACTGTTAGGCTGGGGGTTTCTTTCCTTGCTGTGTGTTGGTTGGAGGCATCCCTCAATTCTTTGCCATATGATGTCACATGCTCTAATATGGGCGCCGGCTTCATCAAAGCAGTCAAAATGAAAAGAGAAGGTGCCTTCCAGATGGAAGTCACCATCACTTCTGCATTAGAAGTAAGTCACTAGCTTCAGACCACATACAAGGGAAGGAGTCTATAGAAGGACAGGGATGCCAAGAGGCAGAGATCACTGGGGCCATTTTAGAAGCTTTCCTACCAAAGGAACTGAGAAGATCTCTCAGGCGCCCACAATATCGCTGCCCTAACACGACATGCTTATCATGTTACCTAGTGAAACCTACAAAGCAACGAAATAAAATGGTAACACCTTGGATCTCCTCTTATGCCAGGGTAGCTGACAGGAAATTTAATGGTGTTATTCACAGAGAGCACCTTGTCATATTACAAAAATGGGACTTCTTTTCAATTGCAATTGCAAGCAAAAAAAAATTTTTTTGGAAAAGAAATGTTTTAATGTCTTTTTTTTTTCCTGCATGGCTCCAATATCCACCAAGCCAATTTCAAAGTCCATAGGAGAACCTATTAATCCAGCAACAGAGAAGGCAGACATTGCAGGATGGCTTTAAGAGCTAGAGAGGTACAGCAACCTCCTAGAGCTAGCCACAGCTAGCACTTCACAGAAGATGATGGATGCAGGCAACTTTTCAAGAAAATCACTTGATGAGGACTCAACTTGATGACTCTGCTCTTGTGAAGGGCCTAAGGAAGAATAACACTCAATAATAAAACCTTTGAAAGCAGAAGCATACCTTGCCCAACCAAGAGGTATAAATGATGTGGGATAGGAGCCAAATTTGGCAAATAAAGAATGAAGAGCCATTCAAGAATATTCTCTTGGACACACTGGCTAAAAGTTATCACTAAATCCTAAATTGTGAGGAAGTGGAAAATCATCACCCAAGCCCACTGTGTATCTGTTATATTTTGTAAAGAGGTGGGTAAGATTTTCTGATAAATGACCTTGGAGCTCTCTGACAATGACCTTGGCTTCCCTTAAAATGACCTATCTGGGACTAATGGCCTCCTTCTTTGGTAATGGGGTGTGAGACTGCATGAGAGACTGCACTCAAATCACTTCCTAAGTAACCAGAAACCCTAAGATTTCCAGATGCTGGTCATCTATATTTTTTTCAGAACATCCTTAAAAACATTGGTCCTAAACTAAGTATTCTCACACAATAGCATTATAAAAAGGGATAGCAGTAGAGACTGAGGTTCCTTCAAGGGAGTAATAGCTTCATGGTATATCCAGTAGCTTCCCTGGTCAAGCACAGCCCTGCAGGGTGAGCAGAGAACTCAGGGCCTGCTGACCCTTCTGCCCCTGAGTTTCAGCCTGCACCAAATATCATTGCTGGTGTTCATCCTGATAACTTTGCCCAGAATAAGTGCATGTGTATAAACACTTACAAAATATCATATGATTCTCATTATAGAGTGAGTCTTACTCATTGTTTTTGTTGTTGTCATCATCTTCATTTTATATGGCTCAAATTTTTAAAACCCTCTAACTATCACAATAGAAATGTATGAGCCCAGTGTGGTAAGTGACTATGAGAATGAATATTCCAGTGCCCAGCATGGGCAACGCCTTGTAAGTCACATACCTCATAAAATGCCATTGTAACTACTGAAGGTTAGGTGTATTGTATATAGCACAGAATCTCATCATCAGTAGTAATGTATTGATTCTACTCTTTTTTGAGCCATTAAAGCCTAAAGACTGTTTTCACCTAGATTCCATAAGAAGCAAAGTGTAAGAAAAAGGCCATGTGTGAGTAATTTATTTGGAAACGTAGTTCCAGGGAACCAGAATAAAACAAGGGAGGAGAGAGAGTCCATGCAAGTATATCACCACGGGTGACCAGTTGTTCAGTCTTGTGAGCTCATCTGAGAAGCAGAATGAAATGCTTTGCAAAATGTTCCTGAGGCAGGAAAAGTCAAATGAAGAAGCATTTACCCACTGACTTCCAGTCTCCATTGGTGAACATTTCTTCTAACCTGGTATTAAGCACTCCCACTTTCAGGATGCATGTTCTTGGACACTAAGTTTCTACAGTTCTCAATGCAGTGACATCGGTAAAGAAAGTCCGCACCTGCAGGAGGCAAGAGGTGTGCATTTCGGGCCTGAAGCAAAGCCGTACCTACTGGAAACTGACTGGAGCCTACACAGAACTGTTGGTTTCAACAGCGGCTGCCACTGCCACAGGATATAGGTGTGGCTTAGAAGATCAGATATGATGCTTAAGAGTTAATCTAATAAAAAGGTTTTCAGCTGTGGAAAACCCTTGTGGAGAGCGAATTAACCCTCAAAAGGGTAACACCTCAAGTCTTTAGTTGCTTGTTTCTTAGTGGAAATTAAGAGATAGACATTGAAGCTATGAGACACAGAAAATCATCATATGAAGGGAGAAGTTGGCTTATAGATTTTACTTATTAAGCATGTCATTGTTGGGGAGGGATATTTTGGGCCTCTGAGAGACATTCTCAGATCCTTTGATAGAAATTTCTTTAAAATGGCTTCCAAAGACCACCAACTACTGGTACACATGCCCAGTACAATCCTCTCTCCTTGTTTGTGAGCTAAACCTAGTGACTTGTTTCTAATGCAAAGAACTGTCATAGAATACCTAGTGCCACATTCATTATCAAAATTTTTTTAGGCCCCACTCCATGAGAATGCAAACTGTAGAAAGGCATGATTTGGCTAACAATCATATTCCAAGCCATAGGACAGCGTTTGACACATAATAGAAGGTCAATCAGCATTTGCTCAATAAAACGTATCTCAAAAAGGTATTTATTTCCTGGAATAGAAAAAGGGAAAAAGGAAAAAGCATTAACCCACTGACTTCAAGTCTCCATTGGAACTGGAGTGAGTGATTGAGCAAGCAAGCGAGTAATGGTCATTATTTAAATCAAGGAAAGTTCAAGCCTACATGATTTTAGAGTCCTGGCATGGGTGCTGAGGATTTCCCCTAATAACCAGAGTGAGGATAGGTTAAAAAATCCCACATTACATTGGAGACATCATGGTATCTCAGAAAACCTATTAGCTGTTTGCTTAACTTATTTGAGACATTTTGTTTTCTGCCAGGGGAAACAATAATCATGATGTCACAAAGCTGTTGTAAGAAACAGTGAGTTTATCTATAAAAGCACTTTGCAAAATCACAAAGTACTAGACAAGTGTTAGTTGTTATTTGTCCCACCTTCTCCGGAGTTGCCTCTCTTGTAGGTTGGAGCAAGAGAGGAAAGTTCAAAATCCCAGGAATCATTTCTGTCTTTTCCTCAGATTCCAAATGAAATACTTTGGCTTTGCTCCTAAACCAAGGTGAAACCAAGGTAGAGAAGGAGAAGAGAACAAAGGGAAGAGACTTGGACCGAGGCACATACAATAACCTGCCATGAGGAAGCATCATGAAGCCATACAATGCTGCCAAGGACAAAAATGTGATGTTTTCTCATTTGATATGTTTATTGATTAATTTCTTTTTGTGATGTGGTTTGACAGAACCCGAGAGGGAATGTGAAAACCTTTCACCCAAGTTCTAGAAAGTCTGATATTGTCTTACAACTTCACATTCCTTTGTGATTCCAATGGACTGATTGAGCCCCAGGTTTGAATTTTTTCTAGTTTTCACACACACACACACACACACACACACACACAGTCATAATACCTGTAAGAAGGAAAGCAGTCCTGTAGAACTAAAGTGTTTGAAAAAAATCTATGAGCTTAATGTTTTGGAGGAAATCCCTTCTATAGCAGTGGAAAGAAGGCAGCTCATTTTTGAGTAAGTGTGGGTAGAACTGGAAATAGGAGATATGGCAGGAACAAGAGAAGGCCAATAATCTATGAGTTCATGTCCTCAGCTTTGAATGGTAGGACTGTATCTGCTCTTCAGTTTTTGAAATACAGCTGTGCCACGTGGTAAGTATACACCACCCCCTCAGAGCCTACCTGCTGCCTTAGTCCCTCTAACCCCTCCCCCATAAGTCTACCCCACTGGACCAGCCCAAAATCCAGATATTGGATAGTCAATGCCAAGCTCAACATGACACCTCCTGGACCCTACTCTAGAAGGATGGTCTGTTCTTAAATCTGTACCCGATGGTCAGGTTGCACTAGACATGTTAAAGGAGGCTGATATCACTCCTGTCTTGGCACTACTCTATACTTCCTCCCCATCCTGGTTCCTACCCCCCAAACATAGGTGCACATATGTGTATGTACATGTGCACAAACGTGTACACACAAGTCTACATTTGCACACACCTGTGCATACATACCTGCACACAAACATGCACATGCAAATTTATGCACAAACATACACACCTGCACACACACATATCCTCACTTTGCCCCAGCTTCACCAACTTCTCCTTGCTCTTCTTTATGCTAGCACTGAACCTTCACACTGGGATTCAGCTGCCATGCTTCACCTTGGGTATGATCATGATAGAGGCTGAGAAAGGTGACTCCCTCCGTTGATGTATTTCCCCATGATTGTCTTCCACCAAACGATACTAATACTCCCGAAAATACTTAACATTTACAAAATGTTTATTTTCTGATTCATGCCAAAGTACTTGTAAGCCTCCTTTTTTCTCATATGCAAAATGATACCAATCATATCTAGTTCACAGATTTATTGTGAGGAATAAATAAGGGACTACATCTACAGGATTAGCACAGTGCCTGGATATAGTAATTGCAACAAATAGTAGCTATTGATATCATGGTATTTGTTATTACTATTAATCTAATCATTCAGTTTTTGAGTTGTGAGTTCCTATATCCTTCTAATTAACTCATCACATTTTCAAAATGATATCCTAGTAAAGGAGAAAGAATCTGAGAAAACATTTCTTCACTTCCCTTTTTTCTTTTTACTTGGAAAGCAAAGGAAAGGGCAGAGGCAAGTGTGCTTAGTATTTTGTGGTTAAATTTAAATTAACGTAGCAGCTGGCATGCATAGAAAACCAAAATAAGCTAAGACTTTTAAAAAACTATTCCTTCACAATGTCATATTTCACTTAAATTTTAATTGACAATTAAAATAATTCCAAGAGTTTTAATTTGGGAGGAGGATGATTTGCTAAAGCAATTCAAGGTGCAGCCTCCTTTCAGGAAGGTCATTACAGACTTTGCTTGTACCTCTTTTTGCAACACAAAGGCCATGTAAGACACCCATTACCTTTCCAAAGAGGACATTATCAAAGTCTAAACTACATCCAAAGTGTATCTTACTCCTAATAATTAGAAATGGATGAGCGGCTAGGAAAAAATAATATGAACCTGCTTAAACTAAATTGGTTCAGCTCTAACTGATCTAATGCAGTTTTCCAAAGAATAATTGATATTATATAATCGTAACTGCCAGTTTATGTCAGAAAAGTGACATTTGACACTTTCTTGCTAACCAGCCTAACATCATCAATTAAAACATCACTTCTACAATGACATTTCACTAGTCAGCTTAACATCATAAATTATGACATCACCTCTTTTATGAAGCCAGAAGATTGAAGAAAGGGGACTGAGAGGATATTCCTACTGAAAACTAAGATTCCTCTTTGATTTGTGCCTTTAGAATCTTTTTTTGCTCTGATTATATTGCTGAGATGATTACTAAAAACAGTAATAATAAAAACCTCACAAGATCATAGTGAAAGCCATAAGAGAGCAAATGGTACATTTTCTAGTTCCCCTTAGTTATGGTTCAACATCCCTGGATAGTGATATGAGGATTTTATTTCACAACTAAACTATGAAATGACTATTCTTGGAAATCCCTGGAAAATAAGAAATAGAAAAGAAAAATTTTGAGTTTGGGTTTGAATTTGGAATGGTATATTCATGTCTCACCAAACCCGTTTTAAAACAATTTATATGTCAGGAAGGTTGCATGTACCTGTAGCCCTTCCAAAGGCTAACTGCTTGTTTTCCACCTGAGGCTCATAAGCACATACTATAGAAAATGTGACGGGAAATAGATCTTTTAAGATGGAAGGCCCAGATCCCAAAGAAGGAACATTCATTTTTGTCCACCTAAAACATTATATTTTAAGGCAGAAAGGAGTCATTTTCCAAACCATTTCCTGAACACCTGCTGGACCAGCAGCTGTAAGAGTAAGGAAACTGAGTCCAAGAAGAGGGGAAGCAACTTGACTAAGGTCACACATAAAGCAAGCATAAGACGACATAGTCCTGCTCTACAGCCCTGTGGTCTTGCCACAATCAAGGATGAAAAATACAAGATATGGCATCACATTTACAAGAGCCACTAAACACATACATGTTGTCTTCCTCTTTCTTTTACAATTTGGTAGTGGAAGGATAAGGTGACCTTTTAGTGTGTTAATCCACAATTTTCAAGAAGGTAATCAAGTAGACTTCTTCAAAGCTATTTATATAATTACATATAGGATTACCACAAGAATTTGTAAAAAGATATTATTTTTCTTTTTATATCATGTAGCAGAATTGAGAAAACTATAAAGAACAAGGTAGACATGTTTGGAGCATACTAGAGCCACATACCTCCTTCTAAGCTAATCTATAGTTAAAAAGAAAGTGTTGCCAAAAAAGAGTGCCACCAGGGGGATCATAGCAGAACTCTCACGGTTTTATCTGGTAGTTGTGATTTTAATCCTTAAATCCAATCTTCAAATTCATTGGATTAAGGGGGTTTCCCACACTAGTCAATGGTACAACAAAGAAACAAGAGAACAAAAATAAGACAAAACAATTACTTGTATATCAATATTTTAACAACTTTAATAGCATAGAATTAAGAAATTCTGCTTTATCCTGAATTTGGTTAATTATAACAGGCAAGTTTACACTGACTGCCACTGGGCAAAGTCCAACAACACAAGACCACAAGGCATAGCTACTTGCACTGTTTGATTATCAAATGCTAAAAAGAACCAAAATTTCTGGTTCCTCCCAGGATGGTTCTTAGTGCATGGCTCATCCTGACAAGGGAAATTGTTACTAATTTTCCCAAGGCATAAGAAGATCAAGTACAAAGTAAAGCGTCATAAAAGGTCTTCCCCTTACGTATTGCTTCTGCAACTGTAGTCACACCAGGAGGTTTCTGTGTGTTGAATCTTGAATGAAAGGTAACTTTTTGAAAGCATCTTTGAGTTAAGTCTGCTGTTTGTGATTGTATCAGTCCATTCTCACACTGCTACAAAGAACTACCTGAGACTGGGTAATTTATGAAGGAAAGAGGTTTAAGTGACTCACAGTTCTGCAGGCTGTACAGGAAGTATGACTGGGGAGGCCTCAGGAAACTTACAATCATGGAAGAAGGTGAAGGGGAGGCAAGCATGTCTTATAATGGCAGAGCAGGAGAGAGAGAGCAAAGGGGGAAGTGCTACACACTTTTAAACAACCAAATCTTGGAAAAGCTCACTCACTATCACGGGAACAGCAAGGGGAAAATCCACCTTTATGATCCAATCACCTTCTACTAGGTTCTTCCTTCCACACATGGGACCACAAGTTGACATGAGATTTGGTGGGGACACAGAGCCAAACCATATAAGTAATAAAGAGAAAAGTCATTGTTATTACTAAAGGATGGCTGTTTTTATAATAAAACACATCTCACACCTACATACATATTTTGAATGGGAAAGGGGAGCAGGGTTATTGATTTAGTAGAATTTATAATTTATAAAATACATTAGAATCAATGTTTGAGTGTTGTTTAGCCAACTTTGGCAATGAATGAATTCAACAGCAGGCTTCCCAGTGTACAAAAAATTCCAAGCTTCCAAGTAATTTTATGTTAGTTGAGACATATTTGTCTGCGTTAGAAAATGTTTAAATCTTTGAATTATTTTTTTAAGGACCAGAACCGTAGAGAAGGAATAAAGTGTCACAGGAATAAGAAGAATTTGAGAGGCTCCAAATGCACTTGCTTTCTTCTTCAATAAGCCAAAGCATGAAGGTGGTGCCCAAATACTGGCCCAGGGGATGTGTTAGTTGCCATGAAAATAGTTCTTAAATAACAAAGCAAAGATTTTAAGCAAATCCATGCAAATTGTCAGAGCATATCTTAGTCACCTCTAGAGGTGGGGTGTGATTTACTTAGCCTCATTTCTTGACTTTTTTCCAAAAGTTTTTGCCATGAATATTTATGTCTAGGGTTCATTTACTGACTGAATTTCCACTCCGTTGGAATTATGCATCCCCATAGTGCACCCAAGAAAGGTGAGCAGTTAGAGGTGAGGAAAGAGATTTCCTGACCTTTTGAAAATAGCAAGCTACACTGGATTAAGTACAGCTTGAGCGGGGTTACTTGTGGGTTGGTGAGGTGTAATTACCTCAAAATTATCTCATTGAAACAATTAGTGTGCAATAGATTTGGTACCAGATCTGCCGCTGTTCTGAACTTTTGTTAAAGCATCTCACTCCATCCTGAAATAGGGCAATTTATAATTCTTACGGAAGGTGCTAGGACTCTACATATTCCTGCTCCTGAGTGCAGACTTATTTACAGCTGGTGCTTGTCAAATGAGTTGTACATGCGAAGGCGCTAGACTTGATGTGAGGGAAGTGTTTCTTTGGTGATGAAGCATTCCCTAGGCAAGTTCCCGGAACCATCAGATGTACGGACAACAGCTAGTTCCCCTCTCATTACAGTCCTCAAGTCCTCAAGCTAAAGGTGCTGAACTTCTGGCACCCAATCATCCACAACTGGTTCTTTTTATTTTTTCATTTTAATTAATTTATTTATTTGAAACAGAGTCTTGCTCTGTCACCCAGGCTGGAGTGCAGTGGCACAACCTCGGCTCACTGTAACCTCTGCCTCCCGGGTTCAAGCGATTCTCCTGCCTCAGCCTCCCTAGTAGCTGGGATTACAGGCACCTGCCACCATACCTGGCTAATTTCTGTAATTTTAGTAGAGACAGGGTTTCACCATGTTGGCCAGGCTGGTCTTGAACTCCTGACCTCAAATGATCTGCCCGCCTTAGTCTAACTGGCTCTTTTTAAAATGAACACTAGGCAAAAAGGACTCAGGTTTGAGCATGCAGCAAAAGAGTACATTTTTGGAAACCATTTTCATTTCCTCTTTGCTTTTTTACAAAACTGCCTCAAGTCGAAGGGGCATTTTATTTCACTTTATGTTTCTGACAAAATTTAGATGATATTTCTTAAGCAAAGCTACTGTCTAAACCTCAAAGATCAGTTAGTCATAGGCAGGGTAGTGATTGTAGAGAGAAAAGATCTAAATTTTTGTTAGAAAGCTTTTAAGTAGCTTTTTGAAAAATAGCTTCAGTCATTTAAAAATATGTGAGAAACCACAATGAAATGGGATTTTCTTTAAAATTATTTTTTCCTAAGTTGATTATGTACTATATACCCTGAAGGTGGTGTCTGTGCAGTTAGGGTGAAGTAAAGGTATGAAATGAATTCAGATTTATACTCTATAAAAGCAACTCTTTCTTTTACTCAATAGAAGGAAAACAGAATTTGTCTTAAGTAGTAAACAGATATATGCTGATACATAAACAAGAGCTACTTATTCTGTAACTTGAATGGAATCAAGAAATACAAAGAGATCAACTAAAAAGGTGTCTGAAGGATTGTAAATGTTTATTATTCTTGAATAAAAAGAAACACAACCTTATAAAATGTATTTGCATTGGTTTTTACTACCTATGACAATAAGGTGAATAAAACAATCTGATCTGGATAGACTAGGAAATAAACAATGGCAGAGATGTTGTCCACAGGAAGAAA